ATGCCCTTTTTGCCCTCCCCGTGCTTCAGAAAAACCTCCGAAGCCTGGGGGGGGGGGGGGGGGAAAAAAACGGCTTTACCAAAAGTTCGGATACAGGCCATTTCCGGCTTCCGGAAGGCCTCTGGAGGATGCGGGATGCCATTTTCTCCCTCCCCTGGGGAGGGTGAAAAACGGGCCTACCGGAAGTTCGGAAATGGGCTGTTTCCAGCTTCTGGAGGGCCTCTGGAAGGCTGGGGGAGGCATGCAAAACATTAGTTCTGCATGTAATTTGTTGTTGGACATTGGAAGCCCCAGTTCTTCCAAAAAACAAACAATGAGCTGGCTTTGAAGAAGAAAAAAACAAGCAGTTCCGGTTATGCAAGTCTGAAACCCTTTATTCTTGTATATCTGTGTAAACTTTAGCTTTGTGCCTTTTTCAGAAAAACAACTAGGAAATCTAATATTATCGGATTGGAGATTTAATGCTGACAGGATAGTCTCTTAGCCAGTATATTGGGTAGGTAAAATGGAAGTGCAGGGAGAGCCTAGGGGCTGATATCGACAGGGGGACAATATCAAGATCATGTGAAGTGTTCGTACCACTTTATACTGCTTTGGTAAGGCCTCACTTGGAATATGGAAACTCATTTGGTATTCCCAAGGCACATTGACATTTCAGAACCTCTAAAATATCTGGATGAGCTGTTATTGCAAAAGTGAATAGAGCAACAAATGCCCAACCCTACATCTTCATGATTTATGAGACATTTTGCAATTGTGACAGCTTGAGTTTAAGATAGTACAAAGCAGTGGAGGGCAATTTTTACACATCAAGGGCCACAGCAGCAGTTAGCAGCATTGTGCCCCTTGGTAGTTGTATGCACACTCCTGAACTTCATGCTTCATTTTATAAACATTTATACACACCACCCCAGGGTTTGTACAGGTGCCCACTCAGATAAATAAAATTGTGTTTTGAGACCATTTGCAACTGAAGTGCAACAGACTTATCATTGAAGATGTTGGCTTAGTTGTTTGTTCATACTGCTCTCAAAATGTAACACAATACAAGGGCTTTGAGTAAGGGGCACTCCAAGGTCTTTTAGGGCTTCTCTGCAGCCCTGACATGGTGACTGACTCATTCACGCAATACTGTCACTGGATTTTATTTTTAAAAAGGGGACATGTATAGATTAACTCAGAAAAAGAAATTAAGGGATGGCTTAGTAGGTCCTCAGATAAGAAGAAAAAGGAATAATCAATAGCCAACAACAAGGCCAACTCATTAAAGGATTAGGAAAGATAACGAAGAATAGCCAGAAGAGAAAATTCCAACATTCTTTAAGGAAACATTGAAAGAGACAGGTTAATGTTTTTTTAAGCGAAGAATTTATATGTTAAATATACAAGATATAATAGGGCAGACGAATGTTATGAGACAGAGGGATATTTTGATTAAATGCAATAAGAAATTTCCTACTAGCAAGTTGCTAGCAGAATATACAACTTTGTTAAAATCAGATGAACCTAACTCAGAATCTGAGGAATTTCCTACAAATGAAATCAATAGAAGTATGTAGGTAATTTTCATTTAATTATCCATGGGGGCATTCAGTCCCGATAATTCTTTTCAACTCTTATCAGTAGCTTTGTTTGAAAAGTCTCCAAACTAGGTAATCTGACCTTCCCTTAACACTGAAACAATTCATTCATATCTTGTGATTTTTGGATATTCATATACTGTATCATTCTAGTAAAAAAGTTAAAAACTCTTTATTGTTGAGCAAAATTCATATTGACATTACTGACACAACCATGTGACTTTATTGATAATAGCATTGAGGTTGTTAGCCAGTCTTTGCTCAGAAGGTTTTTCAGTTTTCAATTTGGCCCATAGTCCCAGTAGTCTCCATCAATATACTAACAAGGCCGCACCAACCCTGCTTAAGGGCAGCAAGTGCTATCACCAGCTGAGGTACAATACTGTACAAATGTTTGGAAACTTAATTATATACAGAAAGAGCTCCATCAAAACATCTATGTCATTAAAGTTTGGTCAATGTTGAAACCCTAAATATGCCTATTAAAGCAGGGTTTCTACGCAAAAACACTAGAAGCAATTCTCACTTTTATGTATAATTTTGAACATTTCTTAAGTCATACATATTCCTCCTGCTATTTACTTTCAGGATAAATGTTATGTAGAGTCCAGAAAAGAGGAATAACAACAAAATACATGATATGGGAAAAAGAGAAGGAAGTATAACTGAAACTAACATATACCAACAGTATTCACTATATCTCCATGCCTTTTGAACGTTGTAAATCATCCTAGCTCCCACCATATTAATTCATCATTTGATGCACTTCTGTTTTTGCAATTCATCAACTGTTTCAGTTGTAATTTTTTCAATCTTCCTATTTACCCTATCTTTCTTCATACATTTATTTTACAATTGATTCTCTCTATACCATCAATTCCCCATAAATACTTGTTTTATAATCTTGCTTTTGAGTACTAATGGTGTAATACTAATAGTGCAATGTACTAATGGCATAATCCTAGATGTGATCCCAGAAACCTAAACAAATCTTTCAAAGACTCTGGCGCCCTGGGGAAATACCAGAAGACTGGAAAAGAGCTGATGTGGTTCCCATCTTCAAAAAGTGGGGGGAGGGGAGTGGATCCAGAAAACTACAGACCAATCAGCCTGACATTAATATCTGGAAAGATTCTGGAAAATATAATCAACAGTGCATTTGTGAGCACCTAGAAATGAACAAGGCAATTATTAGAAGCCAGTAAGGGTTGTCAAAAACAGATCATGTCAGACAAGCCTTATTGGCTTCTTTGACAAAGTGACTAAATTAGTGGATAATGAAAATGTGTGGACATAGTTTACTTATGAGTGCCTCAAGGTTCTGTCTTAAGCTATTTAACATCTTCATAAATGTTATAGATAAGAGGACAGGAGGGGAACTCATCGTATTTCCAAACACCAGGTTGGGGGAAATAGTGAACACTTTAGAAGATAGTCTCAATATACAGAAGGATCCTGACAGACTTGAAAAACAGACAAACAACAAAATGAAATTCAGTGGTGAAAAAATTAAGGTCATACATTTAGGCAAGAAAACCCAAATGCACAGGTATAAAATAGGTGGTACCTAAATCAATAATTAGTGACTGAGAGGGGGATCTAGGTGTCCTAGTGGTCAACCACTTAGGTATGAGCCAGCAGTGTATTGCACCTGCCAAAAAAGCCATTCAAACAAGATGTGGGAACATGAACAGTAAAAATATAGTTGGACTGAATAGTTTAGAAAACCAAAATGAAGGAGACTGGTCTAGCTATTTCTTTACTAGCAACAGCAATAGCATTGAGATTAATATACCACTCCATAGCACTTTATAGCATTATCTGGGCTATTTACAATGTAGAAGCATTATTGCACATTGCCCCCAACATTCTGGGTCCTCATTTTATCAATCTCGAAAGGATGAAAGGCTGAGTGAACCCCTGGCTGAAGGGAGAGTTTTCCTGCAATACTGCACTTTAATCACTGCACCATCAGGGATCCAATGATTTCTTCATAGCTAACACTGTCTTCAAACAACCAAAAGGATGTTTTTTATATACGGGCATAACCAGGTGGAGACATATAAAATTAAATATAAAAAATACAAAACTAATATCAAACAGGTAAAACCACCATCCTTGGAACTGGTTGGATGGACTCAGTTACAATGGTGACCATTGGAAGATCTGAAAGATTTCTATAATTATGAGAGTCATAGAGACTCTCATGTTGTGAACATCAATTTAATGGCACATAATCAATCCAAAACCATACTGTATATTATCTAATGTCTCTACAGGCATCCCTTAAGTGCTACTTTAAACGACAAAGGGGATATTAGATATATCAATGTGGAACCCTTTGCTAAGTATTGTATTTCGTCTCAGTACTTTACTTTGATCATATACTACTGTTATCACATTCAGAAATTAAACCTGAAGTCCATATTCATGCAAAACATTCCAAAATTCAACCTTATTAATTTTATGTGTACTCTTTACTTAAATCAACAAAAATTTCTAAGGTGGCTAGAGATTGGTTTCGAGGAAGGCAGTTTTTCTGAGGACTGGGGAGGCATGGTTTTGCATGCTGCCTGGATCCGCACATGTGCAGATGGCGCTTTGCTCACTTGCGTGGCTTGATTCCTGACGGTCTGCAGACCATCCCGGTCTGCAGCCCGGGGGTTGGGGACCCTTGGGCTTTCACATCTCTGAAACATGCCATCACAATGTGATGTAATTACTCCAGGATTATACAATGTTGGTAATTGGAATAAAGTTTTGTTTACCCTCAATATTTCTCACAGTCTGAAAAGGACCTACACAATTAGTAGAGTACAACGTTGTTTTATATGTAAAAATCTCCAGGTATATGAGAGTGGTTTGACATAAAGTACATTTGCTACTATATCAAAAGGTCAAGTATGTGACATCACATTCCATCTGAACATTTTTTTAATTTTTTTCTTCTCATATGTCTTGTACAAATTAACAGTTGGTTTATCTTTATTAGCAAAATCACTCATTGTATAGATCCCGTGGGTATCATTTTTCAAGAGGTCCCATGCATTTTGTTCCATGTTTCTTTTCCAGTTTATTTGCATTACTGAAGACCACTTTCAGGGGATTCTTCCCCCGCATTTGCATTATTGTGTCTTTGGAGGTTTATAATGAGTTCTGCAACGTTCATTAAATATCTAAAATAGCAAAACAGAAAGTTGATTGATACAAATATTTATGGATCCAAATATCTTAATTAGCTGCAAAGCAGTAATCAGAACTAAATGTATGTGCTCAGAAAAAACAAAAAAAGATGATATATACTTGTTCAGGTTTGTAGCTTTCAGAATAAAAGGGAATAAATAACTGGCTGAAATATTTCCACACATGGCAGACAGAGGGTTTTTTTTAATGACAGAACTGTTCCCAAGTTCTGATGGCATCACCCTTGTGATCACATAACAGCAATGACATGATCTTTATAACCAGTTGCAGTTCTGTGGTCATGTGACAGGATTTGCAACTTTTTTTTTTTTTGCCACAAATCAACCTTTTCAGCTGGTTGCCAGCAAGAAATGCCCATAGGAACACATTGACTTGCTTAATGAATGTGGTGCTTGCCTAACAATTGCAGTGTTCACTTAATGACTGCTGCAAAAAGGATTGTAAAATCAGATTGGTCACATGGGTGTCTCAAGTTATGATTTATGATGGAGGTCCTGGGCTGCATTACAATTAAAGACTACGGTACTTACATGCCTTAGTTTGGATGTTTCTACTTGATTTTCATATTTGGATTTAACTTGAACTATAGTTCTCTTCCTAGCTTTCTTCCCCATCAATCAGAGCCTTAATATGGTATGACAAAAATTCACAAATTAGGACTGCTCCTTACCTTCCAGCTTCTGTCATTTACCACTTCTTCGACATTTAACTCTGACTGCATTAATTTCAACTACAAGAGAAGAAGAGAGGCTTTAGAGACTTAGCATAACAGTTGGGATTGACCATGAGCATACAGATTGTATAAAAATAAATTTGGATAACAATATTAAAAATATACTTAAAACAGATTAAAATAGAACATTTAATCAAATTTTCTCACCATTCACTAAATAAATCTTCCTATGAAAAATTGGAACTTCATTGTAGAATATTGGGGAATTAAGTATTAGAAGTGGTAAGCATTTTATAGACATTTAGAAGAGAACAAAGCTAAAGCTAAAATTCATACTGGTGAGAAATTAGAAAATCTTTTTTTCACCCCAGCTGAAAAATGGCAAAAACAGAGAATATACTTTTGAATGGGTTATTGCAATGCAGTGAAATCTTGATTTGCCAAACTTTAATGCAACATATAAGGGTGTGCACCAGACCTAATTTTGCCATGATTTGCAATATTTGCATGATGATGTCATCAAGCATAAGATGCAAATTACATCATTTAAATCAATTTATTTCAGTGGCATAATGATGCAACAACACAAATAACTAGATTACCTGGGTGATGTTGTCATATAGATGCTGTAAATCTCCGTGACAAATGACAAATTCTTTATTCAACATACGTTTCTGAATAATGAACCCCTCCCTCCTAATTAACTGTTAAAAAAAAAACCCAAAGTTTTTTTTTAGTAATAATTGCAGTTAATTTTAAATGAGTGAGTTGAGACCAGAATGACAATCCAATTACATGGACAGAATTATAGCAATGTATATTAAATCCCATTATTTCACATTTGCCTTATAAAAATTTGCAGATGTCTGAAATTACATTCATATGGCAAGTAGATTCTAGATAGTAGAGCAGTTTTTCTCAACCTTGGCAACTTGAAGTCCGGACTTCTTCAAGTTGCCAAGGTTGAGAAACACTGTAGTAGAGCCTTATTTCTATGCCCTCTTTGGAAGCCTTTAGGAAGAAACTGTGGGTTCCAGCGAACTGTTGGAGTTGCAGTGCTCCAAGTATGTTCATCACCTTGCCCTGTACTGCTCTCTCCTGGACAAAAAATGACTTTACAATTTTTTCTGTTTCAGGAAACCTTTTTTCTTTTGTCAATACTCAGATAGCTTAACAATAACTAACATACCAAATGTTTGGGAAGAAGCTGAAATGGATACAGTACCTTTTAATATCACAAAAATGTAAAATATTGATAGAACATGGGATCTCCAATCTTTACTATCATTACAGAGGAGTCTGAACCATTCACCTGTTTTTCTATATCTAATAAGCATCCCAAGGACTGCTTAGAAATTTCGATGTATAAAATGATTTATGGGTTAAAGTTTCATGTTTCTTTCCTTTCAAATTGTGTTTGACTTCAGCTAGCAAACATTAATAGTTTAATTATTAATTTAAATTAATCAATGACATCAGTTTGTACAAGTTCTCATAAACAAGACCTAATTATGTGTGTTTAACAAGACATGAATACCTGGGTTTCCCGAAAATAAGGCCCAGTCTTATATTTTTGGGGCTACAAAATAAGCACTAGGGCTTATTTTCGGGGATGTCTTAATTTCCCCCCCCCATGTACGGGAGGCCCAGTTCTGCTTCCTCACAGCCTCAACAGAGGAGACAAGCCGAGACATGGTGGGACAGAGTGGGCAGGTGGGCTTGGAGGCTCATCTTCAGGTATCTCGATTTTCCCGCAGCCCACATGGCATGTAAGGATTGCCTGCCTTCCCCCACTGTACATCTGCCTCCATCTGCTGCCGATGCCCCTGTGTGAAGATGAATCTCCCGTGGCTCCCTGCCTGCTCCATCCCACCAACTCTTGGCTTACCCATGTCCCATGCGATGCGTCTAGATTGTGTGCCTCCCCACCCCATCTCTGCCTGCTGCTTGGACATATAATCAACTCACCTGCACTGTGCAGCCTGTGGCTGCTGCCAGACATTGTTGGCCCTTGTGCCCGCACTGCCTCTGGTGCTGTCCACACCCCCCGCTAATGACAACCTTAACTAGGGCTTATATTTGAACTAGGGCTTATATTAGGATCATGCTATAAAATCAGGCTAGGGCTTATTTTGGGGGGTAGGTCTCATTTTAATACATATAAGGGTACATACATATAATAATATAAAACTTTGTGTATGTGTGGGTATTTGTGTCAGTGCATATATACATTTTGTTTAGTACATGAGAAAATTATACTGATGGCAGATTCCTTATTTTTGTCTTTCTTTGTGTGTATATGCCTTCAAAACAATCCTGCAACTATTTGGCCCAGTCGCTGCAGTTTACCTAACAACATTTTTGGAAATAGTTTGCTGTAGCCTGTTTCCTATGGCTGTGAGAGGGTGATTGGCTTTGTACCTAAGATAGGGCTAGAACTCTGGGTCAATTTTTCCCCCTGAGTAATCCTGTTGTATTATCAAACTGATCTTGGCTGAGCAGGATCAGGCTTGCTTAGTCCTTAGAATGAACCCACAGGGCTCAAGGCAAAACTGGGAAGTTGAACTAATTTCCTGAAATATGACAAGGCAGGTCCATACTGTGGCTGAGAAAACTGCAGATATGCTCAAGAAGGTGCCGGGTGCCAGGAGTTGAGCTTCACCTGGAGAAGGCATGACCTTATCTAATAATACAATCTGCAACAGCCAGTTTGTCAATTCATGATTTCTATTTCTATCTTTTCTGGATGATGAAGCATGGGCATAAAAGAATATCTAATGACAGATACATTTGTTAGAGAGAACTGGTCCTTTCCAGCATTAGGAGGATGATTATAATGTCAAACCACAGATAACTATTTTTGTAATTTTACATGTTTTACTTTTATGTGCCACTGGAACAATCAATTTTCAATCATATTTTATATAATAGAACTTAAAGCAACCAAATTCTGCTACTTACTTTTGTCTGCTCTTTCCTGAGTTGTTTTAGTAGTGTTATATCATCTGGAGATTTCTTCCTCTCTTCCTGCAGACGTTTTACTACATTAGAAGTTTGGGCAATACAGCTTTTGATTATTCTCTCCCTACTTTCATGAGCTTCTTTCAACTAAATAGACAGTAAATATAAATGAAGAAAACCAGATGAGCAAGCAATCCAATAATGAGTGAAATGTTAAGTAAAATAAAAGCAGAAATTGAGGAGGTTTTCATAGAATTACCACTTTCCATGCATATATAATAGACACAGCAGAAAAGCTTATTATTCTTATCACCCAGATATTGTAGCTATTAAACAAGTGCTAAGCAAAAAAATCCTTGTCACTTAAAAATACAGAAATTAGCAACCACTTACATTCACTTTCTTTTTTTAAAAAAAGCAGGAAAAAAGTCACAATGCGTCATGTGATGACAATGTGACCTTGTGCGTTTGACACCCCTGCAATAGGCTATGGATCCTTTTCCAGAATTCAAGAATTGCAAAGTGGCATGTATAAACAGCATGTATTACATTCCACCAAAGCATCAACATGTATATGGCAAAGCTTTGGTAATCTGGAGAATCAGGTGATAGAATAGTGGTCACTGATTATAAAAGCAAAATTGTTGAACTACAATAAAGCATATAAAATTTCATAGATATAAAAGTACAAAATTCAAGAACTTCAACTCCATCTTAACAAAATAAAATTAGTCAGAAAACATAAGTATATAATTGATCATATTTGGAGGAATATCAAGATATGATATAATATAAAGAAAAAGGATATAATGGATATATGGATATTTTTTGTTTAAATTTCTATTAGAATGTTTTTGACTCTGGTATTGTGCCAGTGTCTCTTAATGGAGCTTATATCAATTACTTAAAATAAAGTCAACATGATGTCCATTGTCCTGTTTAACAGGATGCTTCTGCCTTCTTAGTTGCTGCCCAATCCAGGGAAAAGAAAGGCAATTATAAAGAGTTGCAAAAAGTTGGTAGATTTGTACTCCCACAACTTTCAAAACACCTTTTTGTAACTAAATCAGAATCTCCTGATTGTAGGTCTATTCATTGATAAATGTTAGTGCTAAAATATATTGTTTTCAATGTTTATAATATTCAGTTGTAATCTGTATTGGCAGCTTACAGTCTATAACAATAAAACAATACAATATAATAATAAAACAATACATTAACTTCCTCGTGCTCCCCAAATACTCTCTGGAAAAGCTACTTTTCCTGCTTACAGAGGGCAATTAGGTTATGTGCCGATTTAATCTCAGGAGTTACTCCGTAACATTGGGTTTGCAAAAAAAAACCCAACCATGTTTGTGAGCCTGTGCCGGCTCACAATGTTTTAGCAATGGAAAACTGTTAATGGATTTTGTTGGGAGCATGCAGATTCTTCTTGAAGGAGGAGGCCCCAAAGATATTTAGGAGCCAAGACATCTAAGGTGTTAAGACAGCACTTGTATTCAGAACTCGATGGGCAATTAATGTATTCAGAACCTGATGGGCTCACAGCACAGACATGTTTTTTCTTTCTTTTTTCGTTTCTGTTATAATTTTGCACCAGTGAAGTTAAAACCAATTTTGTTGTATTTTAGTACAATGACAATAAAGATTATACTTATGTGATGACTGCAAGCTCCATATTTTGCACAAACTTCAGCTTTCGGTAGTCTTCAAAGTAGCCTTTTATATGACATTGTGGAGCAATATGTGCATGAATGGGCCTCTCTGGTCATGACTTCTACCTGCCTAATCTAGTTGTAGCGAGGTATCCAGGAGAATCCCCCATCGCATAGTTGCTCCTTCAAGAAGTGGAACCACCCCATCCAGAGTTATAAATGGAGCTGGCAAAGAATCTCCCAAGCAAACATCAACTCCATTTTGTTTGGGTTCAGCTTCAGTCCATTTTGTCCCAACCAAACTCTAACAGCTTCAGGTACCAGATGGATATTTCCTTTGGCTGACCTAAGTAATGATGTAAAATAAATAGCATGTTGGTGCCACCCCAATTATCTGAGATCGTTGCAGATTAACTTGCAAAGATATTAGAAAGCTTGATATATTCAGGCTAATTTGTCACAGATAGGGAGTTGGCAGTCTCTCAGACTAACTTACTTCAATAGGATTGTTACTGTTGTAAAGTGGCATATTTATCTGATGGCAAGACATTAACAAAGAACATCAGGTTGGTGGATAAAGCCTACTCCCAATGCCTATTTGCTGATTTCTTTTATGTTATTTCATTTACTATTAGATTTATACCTTGGCTTCTACTAACAGTATGCATAGCACTGTTGTTGGTTTTTACTTGTTACTTTTTATTGTGGCTGGACCATTCCCTGTTGGCAAGTCCACCATAAATATTTGTTTTGTTTGCTTTGTATATTTTTACAATGAAGTAATTTTCTTCAGGAATTTTTAAAATGAATCATGAGTCTTTTTGATTTCCAAGTAGGCGTATGAGAAGCAAAATAATTTTGGCTAAGTCTTTTCTGTTGGAAAACATAACAACCTGTCTTCGCTTTTATGGTTTAATTTGGGGCACAAAACCCTCTTGGCCTGTGCTATATGGAAAACCAATGCAGATTAGGTCTACTACATGTACTGATAAACCTGAGCCTTAGGCACCAAAATCAATACAGTTAATTGGTGGTTTTTAAAGTGCTTTCTGGCTCTAATATTAAATGATCTAAATCTGAGCTGAGACCTGTGGAGCTACAAAATTATCAAAGCCATTTTTCTTTGGACACATTTCATATCTGTGCAAAAATAATACTAATTTGATAATAATAATTTGAGGCTGAAAAGAAAAAAGCAATAATTGCTATTTGTAGTGCATGTGCCAATTTATATAAAAACTAGTATGGGGTTGGAGTAGTAGTTAAAATGCAAAAATAGCATTGGGGAGATTCAGGTCTCCCTCAGGGATGAGAGCCACTGGGTGACTTTGAGTCAGTCATTTTCACTTGGCCATAGCCTGGGAAATAAATAATATCAAGCCACACTGGATCAATGTGGTGGATTTAGGAGGTCTTATTACTTTTGAAGTGCAGGAGGCAGCGAGCATAGTCACCTCATGGCTGTTGCTGTGTTGCAAATTTTCAGGGAGGGCTTATTTTAATGCATGCGCTCCAAAGCCCGATTGGGCTTATTATCCGGGGAGGTCTTATTTTCAGGGAAACAGGGTATATTTCTTAGTGTCAAATACACTTAACATTAGCAACTTAATTATACAACACAATATGACTAACTTTATAAGACCTATTTTGATTAAAATAAGACAAAAAGAAGTATAGTTATCTTTATATATTTTTGGATATAAATATACTTAAATAATTAAAAGCATGATACAAATTAAATTGGCAGAGTTAAAAAAGACATAAAAAAGACATACAAACAAGAGGAAGTTTGGAAGGAGTAGCATTGCCACAGATTCTATGGCTATAAGGTACTATGGAGGAGAAAGAAGTACAATGATCTCTCTCTCCCTTTTGAGTTAAGTATTTTTAATTGTATATGACACAAGTAGAAAAATTGGTGACAAGAACAATGAAGGAACAATATATGCTTATGATTTAAAAGGCCAGGTATGAATTGCAAGAAACAGCTAGATGGCAGCAAAGAACTATAGAAAACTCTTAACCTTTGCTGTTATCTAGTGGTCACCTAGATGTTGGCGCTCCCAGATCTATAGATCTATAGATCTGGGAACTATAAGATGCCAATGTGGCCACGAACACCTGGTAAAAACAAAATCAGGTTTCAAATGAAAAAAGTTAAATGAAGAGGAAGGACAAATATATTTACCGAATGATGAAGTTCTTCACAAGTTTGCCTAGCATCAACTTTTCCTGCGAAAGAAGCTGTTGGAACAGTAGTATTTAATTCATGGACTATTCTGTCATCAATTGTTCTTGTTACCCTGAGCAATTCCTGGGTGGGAGGGGGCAGGGGAGGAAAAACTTAGACTTAATGTTGCAAAATTTAAATTAAAAAAAGAAACAGTATGTTAGCAACCAGATCAAATAGTGTATTTTTGAACCACATATTTAAAATTCCTAGAAACTTGCAGAGTACTTTACATGTTGATTGTGCCAGATTACTATAATAGATCATAAGATTGAAAGGAACTCTAGAAATCTTCTAGTCCAAACCTTGCCCAGGACAGGAATCCCCCGATCAAAAGCCATGGTCAACAAAAATGACTGTCCAAATTTGAAAATTTTGTGATGCTTTTTAGCGGACAGGTCATTTGATTCCTTCTACGAAAAGAATAGCAAGTCAAGTTGTGGGAGTATGTTTTAATGCCTACAATAATTTTGTTTCTTAAAAGTATATTTGACCTGGAATTCAACAAACTGGAATACATCTTGTTCCATGCCTTTGTCCATAATACAAGAAAGATGCTGAGGAATTGGAAAAAATCCACAGACAAGTGACAAAGATGGTAAGGGACTTGTGGCTAAATTCTGTGAAGAATGGTTAAAGAAATTGAGTACATTTAGCTTAAAGAGAAGTGGAGACACAATAGTAGTCTTCCAACTGAAGGACTATCTCCTGGAGTAATGGGTGCACCATCACTAGAGATTTTCAAACAAGGCAGAAATTTTTCTGGGATGGTCCGAGGATTCGTCCCCTGAGTTGGGATTTGCACTAAAAGACTTCCAAGATCCATTCCAATCCTACAATTCTATGATTGTATTTACAAAGTACATTTCTCAGGTTAAGCTAGCCACGAATTTACTCATTCAGTTTTATATGTTTGTATAATACATTGAACCATAAATTATCTACATTGGCTATTTACCTAACACAGTAGGGCAAATTAATTGGCTAGCTTGTGGTGTGGGATGTTGTGAGGACGTGCTTTTTTACAAATAAATCTGATTGAACATGGACATATTATTGAGAAACAGAGATGAATGTCATTAGAGCCCAATCTGTATCTATCTATATCCCCTGCTTGTTGATGCTTTCTCCTTCTACTATCTTATGCTGCTGATCTTTTTCTATTTATGATGCTTCCTCCCTACCTCTCCAATTCAGGGACATTCCATTCTCCATATGTGCTCTAATACTAACATTCTTGGAAAGGGAGGGAAATAAGTTAAAATCCATGAGCAATCACTTATATTGTCCATCCAACCAAACCTGAAGCAGAAATTCAATGACAGTAAGCTAGCTCTTGTTGAAGCTGCTATCTTCCTAATGTAGCTCTGACCAAGTAGGAATGAATTCCCCACCCTCATGTTACCTTAGTTGAACATGGGAATACTCTCATAAAACTTACTCTTTTACTCATTTATTGAATTTACAGTAAATCATCGCCCTGATTTGTTTACAATAATTTCAAAATACAATAAAATAACCACAATAAATGAAACATAAGATAAAGTTAAATTAAAATTATAAACACAATCCTGACAATGTCACAATTCACTTCAAAGCCCTCTGAAATAAATTGATTTTAATTAGCGTTTGGAAGTCTATATTATCAATTAAGCTATTTTCACTTCCAGGAGAAACCATTCAAAACCATCCCAGAGATTTTTTTTTGAGCCTTGGCCTCCCTCTCTAGCAGCAGTTTCTTCCAGGAGAAACATTTTAGGAGGGATGAATCTGGTTGAAAAGGATCTAGGATAATTATCCCCAAGATAATTTGAAGATGAATCAACAACTCCTAGTTGACATTTGGTTGGAGAATGGGTGACAGTTATCAAACAGTTGCTTCCAGAGATGATCTCTTAAGGAAGGGCATATTACCTCTTTCATGGTCCCATCTTTCCCCAAAGGAGCCAGAAGAGAAACCCAAAAGTGATAAGGGCCATGCTACAAAATTTGACTTAGAGTACACCTGTCAAAAGGAGTCCTAGGAGAACTGTTTTGGTCACTACCATGAATTTTGCCCATACGGAGTGAAGACCTCAGCAATTCTATTTTATATATTCTGTACAACTTTTTCAGCAGTTACATAGTGGCCAGGAAGGCATCTACATTCTTGCCTTTCTAGAAATTTGCCATCCTAACAGTGAGAGGCTGATGGCTTACTGATGAAATAAGAGGAGATGTAATGCTGCTTTGCCTCTTTTATTACCATAGTGTAAGCTCAAACCTGAGGTATACCCATATTTGATTAGATTCACTTCCACAAAGTGATCTCACCAAGGCAAGAGTCAATACAATATCTTCCCTATCCTTATCATAGTTCCAAAGCAAAGACAAAGACTAGAGTGTGTCCACCTATATGCTTTGGATTACATATCTAAGACTAGTCCACTGTTGCTGTGATGGGTATGAGCTTCATGGCTGTTCCCAGCCTGCTGTCAGAAGGTTTAAGATGTAAACTGCCCAGCCATCAAAGGGATTCCAACTTTAGCTGAGATACAAGATCAAGGAGTCTGGAGAAGGATACAATTAAGCAGTAGCAGGATCACCAGGATGACACACAGCTTCTCTTTGTAAGACACTATAATGCTGTGCTTCCCAAACTTTTTCCTTCATTACCCAAAACCACTTATCAGAAAGTCCTTTTTACCCAACGTAGATAAAACACTGAGTGTAATATAAACATCCCTGTTGTGATTGGGCTTATTTGTCATTATCCAAGAAAAACCACTTTTATCCAACCCAAGTTTGGGATGCACTGGTAAAATATCTAGGCATTCACATCCTATTACCACAGAAGTGAGTCTCTGGCCACAAATAAAATCAGTGATTTGATTTGATTTATTGCATTTCTATGCCGCCCTATTCCCAGAGGGACTCAGGGCGGCTCACAAACACCACCTCTCCTGGATTTATGGAGGTTGCTTTTTTATATGGCTGTGCCCATATTCATTTTTTTAATGGATTCTTTTAAAAATTGTAAGCTGACATTTTGAGTCAGTTGCCTTGAAATTCAAGGAACAAATAAAAACCTAGAAGAGAAATTCTCCAAAAAGGTGATATCTCATCCAGTCAATTTTGATAATGCAAATCAGGAATAGGAAAAATAATTACCATGCACCTATACAAATAGCACTTCTGAAGAAATGCATTACTTTGCTACTGCCACTAGAGTGCTTTCACCCATGATGGGCTGTCCCTTGTCCAACTGGTGAAAACAATCAAACACTAAAGGGTCTCAAAGCATCTTACAACTGGTTCTGGGATCAATTCTGAATTTGCAATTACTGCAGTATTTCACCATTGCAGTAATTGTAAACCCAACTGTGGCTTAACTGCTTGTTCTGCTATACAATTAACTTTTAGACTACAAAATAAAGTAATAGAACCTAGTCATTCTGGTTTCAACTATCATAATTCCCATCTTTGTCCTTACTATCCCTTTTATCCAGAGGTGGGTTTCTGCCAGTTCGTCCCAGATCGGGCAAACTGGTAGTGGTGGCGGGAGGCTCTGCCCATCAGCCTGGATGTTTCTCCACATGTACAGAAGCTTCTGTGCATGCGCAGAAGCGTTGCACAAGCACACACGAGCGAACCGGTAGTAAAATAAATTGAAACCCACCACTGCTTTTATCCCATTACCTTAAACAAATAAACCTTGTTTAGTGGATGTTCACAGTTACAACAGTGGCAAAAAAGTTTGCAATCGATCCCCACATTTACAACCTGTAAAGCTGAAATAAGATTGTAAGTACATTCATATTTTTATTTAGTGTTCACTTCCCTTAACAACTGAGTTGCTGGTTCCATTTATGGTTGCTAAATAAGTTTTACCTGTAGTTACTTCTAAGGATAATGGTTTCAGTCCCATGCCTACTTTGATCTAAAGAAGCCAACATTCCACATTTTGTCCTAATATATCTGGCTGTTCTGCTATTTCAAACAACAGCAGCTACAAACAAATGCAATAACATGTTCACCTCTAGCAGTGATGTTGGTGGTATTGTGTTGAAGCAGCATCTGAATGCTTTGTACTAAAGAAAAGGATATCTGCTCCCAGGATAAGTCACTTTCCTCATGCTGTTATTCTACCTCAAGAGACCACCATTCCTGCTGCAGCCCAATCTTTTCATTCTGGGGAAGCTATTCTAATCCTAAACCTAATCTCCTATGTTCAAGAGTAACAATCTGAGTCCTGTCTCTTCTGGACAAGTATTCCATGTTTCATAACTATAACAAGAGGCTGCAGTTCTAACTGCAGAAGCCAAAACATAGAGTTTCTTTTGTAAATTTTTCTTCCTTTCAAAATGATTAAAATAACAGAATGAAAAGAACAAGATTATAATTTCTATGTGTTTGCAACACATTGAAGGCAGCATAAGAATCACAGAAATTAATGTAACAGAAGAAGAAATGTGTAAATTAACTTTTTCCCTGTTTGCCCATAGTCTCGCAGCTCCCACCTCCTATTTATCTGCCATTTGACCCTTGTCTTTTCGCGGGACAAAGGAAGACTCTGACTGACATTCAGCTTTTTAATAGAGATCTCCAAGGTCCTCCGGAGAGGCAAACCATGCACCCTCTCATCTCTCCCTTCCTGGATTGCAGTAATGCTCATCTATTTTAGAGAAAACTCCAAGGAAGAGCGTTTCTAAAACATCGAACACACTACTATAACCAGACAGGCATCCCTCCAAGCACGTGCCCGGCTGTCGGGTGTGCTGGGCAAAGGAAACATTTTACAGCATCCGGGAACCCGGCTCTCCTTCAAGCCCCCCAAAACGAGCCTTCTGTTCTCTCCACGGGTGGAGAATCTCTCGAAGTCTGCTCCACGTTGCTGTCCACGCCCGTCCCGCTCCTCCTCTACGGCGCGAGCAAAGGTACTCCGGAGGGCGAGGAGGCGCAGCAGCTCCAAGATCTGGAGGCGAATCAGCACGTGCCAGCCGATCGCGTGGAGGGAAACGTCCCGGGCGCCTCCCCGCCGGCCTCCACCAGCCTCACTTTCGTCTCTGTACCTGAAACTCAGCGAAGTCCTCGCAATTTAGAGTCGAGCCGGGCGCTGCCATGTTGGAAGGTCTCAACGCAGCCAATTGGAAGGCGTGACGGAGGCAGGCCCGCCTCCTCCTGCTCTTTCGCCCCGCCAAGAGCACGCTTCCGCGGGATCCCGAGCCGGGCCGGAAGTCGCGGGGCGTCTGTTGCGCTGCGCCTTTGCCCGTTCCTGGTGCGGATGGCCGAGGTCGCCGGGGTGCAGGTGGTTAGAGATCTTGAACTGGTCACGTAGTGCTTGAGACCGATTTTAAAACGCAACAGCAGCCGCGTTTGGAGGTGAAAACCAACCACCTGCAGCTGGTCTTTTTCTCGGGGCAGCTTTCTTGGGATGCAAAGTTTTTTTTTCCAAGCTTCAAGATTCTTGTTTAGGCAAGCCGGCTAGGAAAAATAGTTCATTTAGTACAGGCAGCCGATCTTGAAGCCATGTGTGAACCAGGACATGCCACGAAGGAGACTGAAGAGAGGTTGAAAATATACTATTCCAAACGGCTACAGGAAATGGACTTTTAGAGATAATTTTTATTTAAAAGAAACCTTGTCAGAAGTTAAACTTCTCCTTAAAAGCTGTTGTAAAATGGAATTACCGTAGTTGGGCACTGGGCATAGCTCCAAAGACTTTGGTACTGTAGATTTCAGATATCATCTCAATCATTCTTAGGAATTCAATTTCATTTTGTTTTAAGTTATTAGTGGGGCAATAGACAGTAAAATAGAAAAACCCAGGAAAGAAAAAAAAGTCCACTCAGGTTGGCAGAAGGCAGTTTAAAATTGCTCAGCTAAAAAGCTAGTTGGCCAGATAGAAGAAAAGGAATATTTGGAGATGTATGTGGCAGCCAAGATAGAAAGTTCCATCTACCCCTGCCCTCTGGATTCTAGTAGAGATAGTGCTAAAGGCTAAATTGATGGGAAAGGGTTTGAGTGGAGGAAAGGAAGTCAGGATGGAAAAAGAAGCAAAAAGCTAAGACAGGAGGGGATTGAATGCCAGATTTGCAGGAGGCAAGGCAGAGGGGGAAAGAAGAAAGGAAGAGTATTTGGACCAGGTGAGGTGAAGATCCCTGCTAGGCAAGCAGAAAGGCTGCTTGTGAACTTTGGGAAGAGAATCCAGGAAAAGCTTTTAGTCCTTTAACCAAGGTAGAGCGTGAGCAGCTGCCAGTTTTCCCAACCAGGAGACTGCAAAGTGGATGGAATCAGTTTGGTCTAGTCTAGTTGTTAAGGCTCCAGGCTAGAAAACGAGACCAAGAGTTCAAGTCCTGACTTAACCATGAAAGCCATCTTGAGTGACTTTGGGTCGGTCACTCTCAACCCAACCAACCTCACAGATTGTTGTGGGGAAAATAGGAGAATCGTGTGTTGGATATGTTCACCACTTGAGTTGTTTGTAAACATAATAAAGGCTGATACAAGTGGACCAGGTTGTTTCTACCCACAATAGCCATTACCTTGAAAAGCTTCCACCAAATGCATTTTTAAATGAGTGCAAAAGACCTAGAGGTAATCCTCAACTTACGACATTTGTTCAGTGACCCAAGTTATGATGATACTTTATCAGGGACTTACAATCTGTGACCAAAGTTCTGGCCACTGGACACATGATCAAAATTCCAGAGCTTGGCAGCCCACCGTACTTACAACCACAGGGGGGCTGCAATTTCCCATACCTGCTTATCTCCCTCCTCCTCTGTCTCTGGCCACCCTCTACCTGTGAAGCCTTCAGAAATCTTACCAAGACTTGTGACTGGATGACACAAAGAATGGCTTGGCTTGACCTGGGTTTGTGGTAAACAACAATTCTTGGTTTACAACTGCAGTGGGGAGTTGCTGTTTCAAGTTGAGGCAGTCATGTGACATTTTGTTCTATAACTACACACACTAGCAATCCCAGTCACAACTGGTTTACCTGTAATGCCTTTGACTCGTGTTTTGGAGAAGGGATGGCAACTCATCAATGGTAGTAAGAAAATAGGGCACCATTAATGAGACGGGGGCATATTCTTTCAGGTTGCTGACATCCTTTAAGATGTATTTGCCGCCTTTGAGGGAATCCTATTAATGACAGTGACTGTGGGAAGGGAAAAGAGACAATTTCTATTCCAATAAAAATTGAATAAAGAGAGGCTGCTTCTGTTGCATGATGCCTTTCCCCAGCTGGAGGACTCCCCCAATTTAGCAGCTGTTTCTTCAATCTGAGGTTGAATCATAGAGCTGGAAGGGACCTTGGAGGTCTTCTAGTCCAATCCCCCAAGGTTGTAATAAGTGGTGGATTTGCATTGTGATACATTTTAAAAGCCTTCATGGCATGATATCATGTTCTCCCCAGATATTTCAGCCTGTTCTATATTAGATTTGGCAGAGAAGGCATGCTACCGATGCCATCAGCTAGAGATCTACATTTGTGCATCCCAGGAGAGGTACCTGCCATGGTATCACATTATGGGGCATCCTTCCTTACCCTTTGAAATTAGTTCTATCCCTTTTGACATTCTGGAACTATATTTTATGCAGCATATATTTTTATAGCTGTTGTTTTTATATTACTTTTATCTAGTTGTATACTGCCCAAAGAGTTGCTAATGGTGAGATGGAAAACTATATAAATTTAGTAAATACATAACATATCACCCCCCTCATTCTACTCACAGACAGGTGCAATCCATTAATTTTCCCAGCCTTATTTTTCCTCTATGCAGCCACCTATTATCCAAGTGCAAGTCTTTCAAAAATGGAACCCTTACAGCTGATGAAGAATAACCTCTAGGCATCAACTTCCAGATTCTTTTGACCTCTGTTTACAAGAGATCAAATAGCTCGAGCTAATGAGTCCAACCCTGCAAGGAAACAACAGTATTGTGAGAGCAAATGAGATTGAACAGGAACTAGAGGAGAGGAGATGTATCAGTTGGAACAATCAATAAATGCTTCCTGGTCACTGACTTGCCCTCTGATGTAAAAGGGGGTGAAAGGTATCTTATATGGGTATGCACACACCTTACAGCTGTTGTTGGATTCCATTGGCTTGAAGGAGAGAGTGGTTAAACCTGTCTTGCTCATGGGATGGGGAGAAGATGATAGTATTTTTATGGGTATGGCAGAATGGCAGATGCTGCCAGGATGTATTTATATTTTATTTAGATGCAAATGTGGATGGGCTCTGTTATGGAAAAATGAGAGGTCAAATGTCTACTTACAATTTAAAGTAGTCATCAGATTCTTATAACAACAGAGGGTGGTAAGGGAGCTTGTCCAGTTGAGGAATTCTATGCCACTATAAAAAGCTGCTATTTCTGGTTGACCACCAACTTGTATGGACTAGTATTACAATCCCAGATTTTTTTTATTGGCCCCTTCTTTCCAGGCTAGATCCATCATTCTAGTCTCAATAAAAGCAAGGCTATATTTTAGGGGTCATTTTTCTAGCTTGCCACTGTTATTCAGCATATATTTTATCTTTTCCAGTGAAAGAACTAATCCAAACATGATATTTTTATCAGAATATATTAGCATCATATTAAAGAAAATATGAATTGACACCAGGAAAGCAGCAGAAGGGCAATGGGAATTATTTCCACCCCTGCAATAGAAGACAATAGTTTCTAGAGTAATGAAGCCACAGCAGAAATTCATATAATCCTAAGGAGAAATCCTTATTCTCCTCCCTGCGCTCCGTTCTCGCTTTTATTTGAAGTTCGCGCTGGTTCCACTAGTCGGCCTCAGCCCTCAACCTCTCCCGCTTGGCAAGGGGCGAGCGTTGCCATCGAAGAAGCCAGTGCGCAAAGAAGAGGGCTGGAGCAGGAGAGCGGAAGGACCGGAAACCCGAAGTCGGACCGCGGAAATCCAAGGACAGTTCGCGATCATGTCTGAGTTACCGCTGGCTGTTGGTGGGTGCTTCTGGTGGCTGCTAAGGCAGCTTTTAAGGTTTTCTCGCCTTAGGAAACGGAGCTCCTTCTTTTCCGCCCAGTCTCGTAAAATTTCCCTGATCGACTACCTGCCCATTCTCTTTCGAGCTAGAGGAATCGGAAGCCAAGCGATGGGTTACTTCTTCATTTCTCGTTTTTAATTTCATATACCTGTTTCTTTTTCATCCAGGCAAAATTGTCAGGAGGCTGGACAAGCGCATTTTTTCGGTTGCGCGGGCTGCTAAAAGACCGTATTCTATAACCAATAGGCTGTGTTGCAAAACTGAGAAGGCCGAGGAAAAAACCCCGCATTTGAAAGAACAAGGTAAAGTTCATAATTCATAATTTCTTGACGAATCCTGTGTATGCTTCGTTGGGAGCAATTCACATGGTGTAGATTTATGCCCCAAAATACAGTCAGCTGCTTTTTCAAAGAGTTGGAGAGTTTGATTTATTTGTGAGATAAATAGCTTTTCCAGCAATTTGTGTTCTCTAGTCTATTAAGTCCTGTCAGAATTAAATATGGTCAGGATTTTAACTTGGAACAAATGAGAAAATATTAAGGGCCTAAAGAGTATGAATGGAAGTTGACATATCTGTGGGTTCACACAATATGCCCAACCAAAATGTGATTGCTTGTTTTCTTTCTTAGTATGTTATGTGAACTCGATCACTTTTAGCAAACCATGATTTTTATAGCTTGTGGTATGTATATCAGTCCAGGTAACTGATTTGTTCTGGTTAGATGGACCTTGGGTTATGTTTTTGGATGAACACAGCACAAATTTGTAATTTGCCCTTAGAAAAAAAAAGTCAGTTTGGTGTAGTAGTTAAGGTGTCAGGACAGAAAACAGGAGACCATGAGTTTGGTTACAAAGCCAGCATGGGGATCTTGGGCCAGTCCCACTCTTTCAGTTGTAGGCAAGGCCAAGCTATTTCTGAAATCTTGGCAAGAAAAGTTCAGGGCCTTCTTCAGGAAGTCACTGTCGTCAAAATTGGCTTGGTTGGGTTTTTTTGTTTTTGTTTTGCTCCTTTTTTGTTTTATATTGTAAGGAATTCATGCTCCAAAAATATGCATATGGAGCTAAGCACTATCTTAAATATTGTACAAAAGTTGACATAGGTATGTCAAAACAAAATATTAAACATACTTAAACTTTAATAAAACAGCGTGGACCAATAATATACAGTCACCCTTATATATAGATTCTGGGATGGCAGGGATGGCTTCACTCTTTTTGGAAAAGAGGGTATATTGAATTAGAAACAAGACATTTTCCTGTGTTGAATTTCTGTATCATTCCCTTGACTGAAGTATTTGAGAATATCCAGGAGTACAGTAAACATTCTATTAATAGCTGAAAAGAAGGGGCCACTTAGGCATACTAAATCTTTGTTCAGTGTGTGAATCCAAATCAAGCATTCCAAATAGTATGTCTCTGCTTGAACAATCCAGTAAGGGGAAACCACTACATTAATGGGTAATTGATTTCAATATTGAATTGCTCTATTAACAGATAGGAGAAGGATAGGAGTAGGTATGTACACCGGCCTGAGTTATTTATAAAAATAAAGGCATGCTATAAATATATAAATAAATGTTCGAAAGCAAACAGAATCCTCCTTTTGATAGCTTAAATCCATTATTTTGTTTCACATGCTCTAGCTCCGTGATGGTGAACCTAGGGCACGTGTGCCACAGGTGGCATGTGGAGCCATATTTGCCGACATGCCAGCCCTCAGCACTGGCATGTGTGCACCGGCCAGCTGATTTTCAGTCTTCCGGAGGGCTGTGGGAAGCCATTTTTTGCCCTCCCCAGGCTCTGGAGACTTTCCTGAAGCCTGGGGAGGGCGAAAACTCCCCCCATTTCATTCTGTTATTTTCAGGTCTATTTCTTAAGAGGTTATTTATTTGAAATTTGTCTCCCATTCCATCCACTTATGTGTCATTTGATAAGCATTCTTTCCAACTCTTTATCCAGCTCATTGGTAAAAATGTTAAATACAGTAGAGACCCACAACTAAAGTCTGACAAGGAATCTTCAGCAAGAAAGGGGCTCCCCCCCTTCCTGCATAATGAATATACAGTGCAATGGCACCCACAAAATTCCTTCTCCTAACTCTGATTATTCAGCAATCAGACTTTTTTCTAGGAAAGTAAGCAGAGGTTTAGTTGCAATGTATACTTTTTCAAACTAGCAATTGTAATATTAGCAGGCGTGCTTCTGCTATTTTACATAGGCTCCATTCTCAGAGGAGTTAGCAGGTTTGATATTTTGAATCTTATTTTTAGTCATTATTGTTTGAATCCAAAAAGCATATACAGATCACCCTTGACTTACAACCATTTGTTTAGCGACTGTTTGAAGTTAGAGTGGCACTGAAAAATGTGACTTAACAACTGGTCCTCATACTTATTGCAGCATTCCCACAGTCACATGGTCAAAATTTGGGCACTTGATAGCCAGCATGTCTTTACAATGGTTGCAGCATCCAGGGTTATTTGATCTCTATTTGTGACTTTCCCACCTGGCTTCTAATAAGCAGAGTCAACGGGGGAAGTTAGTTTCACTTGACGAGCGCAAGATTCAGTGATTCACTTAGCAACCATGCAAAAAAAAAAGATTGTAAAACTGAGCACAACTCATTGAATAATTTGGCAACTGCTTAGCAACAGAAATTCTGGTTCCAATTGTGATTACAAGTCAATGACTTATATGTAATACATCTCTCTCTGTATTTTTACAGTTTTCACAGCAGTTTAGATTAGGATTAGAGAAAGTGATGTTCTCAGACTAGTTCGTGACCCTTCTGCTGACTTGAGATTTTGAATCCAACTTAATTAGTGCAAAGCCATGATTTTTCCTGTGAAACTTCATGGAAGTGAAAGTTGGACTGAAGCAGGAGAGGTAGATTGGTGATGTTTTTGATCTTTGGTGTTGGTCGTGACTATCACAGACAGCAAAAAAAAACAACAACCTACAAGTCAATCCAGTGTTCTCACTTGAAGCGCAAATAATGAGGTCAAATTATTTTCCTTTGAATATATTACACCCAGCTCTCTAAAAAAGGCTGCTATGAAAATATCCCTTTGACCTGAATATCAGGAGAGAACAATGAAAGAAGGAATAATGGCAGGAAGTCTGGGAGTCACAAAAGTGAAATGTTTACCTCTACTATCACATGGGCGTGGGTGACTGAATGCCAATTGCACAGTTGCTTCTCTTTGTGGTGGGCTAAAACTGTCTTCATTGTTGAAACTGGACAGCCATTTGTGCAAAATAGTGTAGGATCTTCTGCTTGAGGAGGGGGTTGGACTACAAGATCTGCAAGGTCTCTTCCAACCCTGTTATTCTGTATTCTCTGACTATAAAGTATGTTACCCTTAGGAAAACTGTTAGCATGGGGCTCCTTGGCTATGATGCTAGAATTCAATTCTGATGCTGCCTTTTGTCCTTGGGTTTTCAGGTGGTACATTTTCTCTTTTGTTTCTCCTGCAGTGCGCTCCTCTCCATTCAGCCACGAAGTTTCTGAATGGGATAAGAAACTGTTGATGTGGTCAGGCCGCTTCAAGAAAAAAGAAGATATACCTCATGAAATTTCGTATGTTCATTACCCATTAAAAATGATTGTTGCTGACACCAATTTCAAATAGATATATATTTTTCATGTGGTAAAAAGGCAGGGGGTCATGGGGGGAGCGGGAATGGGAACATTAATACAAGAGCAGCAATCTGAGGCCAACGTGCTGTTTTCTTGGAAGCTCTGGTCCAGCTTTTGATCTATAGTCACCTTTGGAATTGTTGTCGGTTGAGCCAATTTGCTCTGCCTATAATGCAGTTTGTAACTGGTTACAAATGCAGTTTGGATTGTAGATAATTTTGTCTACAAAATACTCCCATCAAGAACTAGAATATTATCATATCCTTGCAAAATTCTCTTTGTCAAGATTAAACCATTTCCCCCAATCTCTCTTTGTAGGACCACTTTTCCATCTTCCTGTTCCAATTTGTTTGAATCTTGAAATATTGTTTGTCCAAAGCTTGACACACAACTCTAGGTTTAGTCTGATAAATGTAGGGTAGAACAGAATTACTGCCTATGATTTGGAAACTCACATCAAATACTTGTCATTCTTTATGAGGAACTACCAAAAAAGTTTTCTGTTTAGTTCAGATAGAGAAGCTTATAAAACATTACAGACTTATAAAACTTGTCCTCTGGGATATCAAGTCAAGTGGATTTTCATCTGCTTCAGGCTAAATAAGGCTTAATACTACTGTGGAATTATGATATTGATACTTATTGGTAGACGACTGTCTTAAATAGTGTTTTTTTAAAAAGAATATAATATTTGTATAAAATTTATAAATAAAAAATGATTAGAGGACTGGAGGCGAATGTGTATGATGAATAATTATAAGAATTAGTCTAATGAAGAGGACTAGGGATGACATGATAGCAGTCTTCCAATATTTGGGCGTCTATCACAGAGAAAGGATCAATAGAATATAGGTTTAGTTTTCTGCTTGAGCAGGAGGTTGGACTAGAAGATTCCCAATTCCATTCTTGTTATTCTATAGTCTCTAAATTTGGTGAGAATAGTGTCTGTTGGCAACTAAACAGAATATTTTGTTCAGAGGACATATTTTATCTGCAGAAAAACTTTTGTAAAACTCTTAGGATGCTGAACTAAAGAGTAATTGTAGGTATGATTCAGTAAACTCTATTGGCTTTCCCCAGACTCATCTTTCTCCAAATGTTTGATTTCCTTAGTAATATGAGCAATGAAAATTCTGGAATTTGAAGCTCATACATCTGGCTCACATTCAGATTGGAGAAAGCTGTCCACTGTTTTTAACTTTCATAATACAAGCCTACCTTTTACATTTCACTTGCTTTGGTATTGTCATGCAAACATGCTATTTGATCTTTGCTCATAAGCCCTGTATAGGAAATTGCCAACATCCTACTGTAATTATCAGGAAGTATGATTGCTTTTCAGTGACTCATCTGTGGAGTCTCTTCAAATGTATTGTTTTAGCCACCTATCAGTATGCAGAAGAGACAGCTAGAATTGCAAGAGAGATAATCCATCAGATAGATTTGATATTTTCTCTTGTTGGAAATTGGCAAAGTGTAAACATATAGGTTCTTATCTCTCTCATTTGAATGGCCATCTAGCTCACAATTGAGTGAAACACAATAAAAACAGAGCAGGAGCGGAGGGAGGACCAAAGTTGCGACGACACAACGTGCGATCTCAATGCTCTGAGATCGCAGTCGATACTTGCCTCTGGGTGGTCCAAAGGGACCTAAACCGTCCCGTAGGGACGGTGAACAGGAAGAATATATCTTGCTGATCACAGGGACATCGCAAAGTCTCTGTTTGATCCAAGAGAAGTTCTTCAAGGTGACAAAAAATCCAGCCAAATGGCTGATAAAGTCGGGGCAGCTCCAAAACGGAAGGATATGGAAAGAGAAAATGTTTTCAGCTGGTGAGAAATTTTTACTGTTTTAAAAATGACTGCCTATAAAAAAAACCTTAAAATTAATTTAAATTGGAGAACAGAAGAAATAAGTGGCGGAATTAAATTTGGACTGGTTTTGAACAGTGGGCTATCTTACTTTTTAAATGCTATTTGTACGGATGGAATTTATGCAAGCCTTTTAAAACGAACGGATTAAGTTTCTTTCTTCTATTTTTTTTCTTTGACTATTCTCTGTAATCTATGACTAAAACTCTCCCCTTTTATTACTGTGTGTGTTTTTCTAACTCATTTAAGAATCAGACCTTTTTTTAAAACTTGAAATACAAAAAGATACAAAAAGAAACAAACAAATGGTAACATTGTAACGTACCTCTGCTACTCGGAAGCTAGAGGTTTGTGTATTGGAAACAAAATACTTTTTTCACTGATTATCCTGGCTTGGCACTTCAAGGACTCACAGCTTGTTTATAGAGAGTGATAAGAAGAAGAAAAGCACATAGATGTTCCTTTGAAGTAGATTTTTAACCAGAGAAAGGTGAAATGTTATTGTGATGCTTAATTCTGCTAAAACCTTCTAAGCTAGAGTAGCAGTGTTTGTTAGCTGGAAATCATGGCACAATTTCAACACCAGAAAAAAGTTTTAAATCTGAAAAAGATATTCTCAGAAATACAGAAATTATCAAATACAAGTGAGAGGATGAGAAGAAGTTGGATTACTTAGTGCATCTAACAGTAAAATATGACGGAGAAGTTGAAGATGTTCATCAAAAGGAAAAAGTGGCGGTTAAAATCCAAAAAACCAAAGAGGAAAATGAATATAAAAAAATTAAAATTGCTGATATTTATGGTGATTGGTTTGTTCCTGAAAACAGAAAGAGTGGAATACTGAAAGAGGAATTAAATGAAGGGGAAACCTACCCCAGATGGGAACATACAGAGAGGAAAAAATAAAAGAATTTATGGATTTAAAGAGAGAAATCTTATTAGCAATAGTTTTGATAACACCACCGACAATCAAAGATAAGCTGATTAAGGAAACAGAAGAAGGGTATCGAAATTACATAAGAGATCTTACAAGCAAAGAGTTGCTAAGAGGAGTCCATACAAAGCTGCTTAAGGAGATGATTAGAGGACTGACGCCACGAATGGCAGAAGATATGACACTGTTTTGTTACTGGAAAGATACAGATTGATAGATGGAAGAGTATAATTTAAAACTAGCTAAATTTAGCAAAATTTAATGATAATATAGTTAAATAAATAATTGATTGATAATATAATGTATACAATGTGTAGTGTTATGATAAGTAATGACTAGATATGAATATTGAATGATACCCATGAAAGGAAGATTAGAAACCCTTTTGGATTATATATAAAATAATAATAATAATAATAAAAAGAATTAAGTTAGATTCAATTAAGTCTTGATTACTAGGGGGAAATGATATGATGCAGGATATAGTCAAATAAAGGAGGGATAATGATAATAACGTATATATATATGTATGGGTACAATATAAGGAAATGAGATGTAAATTGTAAACAGTGATTTGGAAAGGAGGATAGAAAACTTTGTTATTAAATATTATGGATGTTTAGCTAGAATAGGACATAAGGATTTAGTGTCATTGAAGGATTTTAGAAATAGTAAATGAAATGCCAGTATGTGGTCATATATTAAATCTTGGTATATTTTATGATGGACGTTTAAACAACTATAGTCAAATGAAAATGGAGGTATGATGACGGTACATGTATAAATATCTGAGTTAAAATACTTGAGCTAATATGAATTATGCTTGATGACTGTGGAAGAGATGCACAAAAGCCTTTTGTAACCAACTGATACACTTTCTACAGTATGTAAAAAGGAACATTTTATGTGTTACTTGTTTTGAAAATTAAAAATAAAAAAACTTTATAAAAAAAACAGAGCAAATGCTTTAAACCATTAAACAAGTAAAATTTAAATGTCAGGTAAAACTGGGAGAGTTGCTTTCAAGATCTTACATACAAGATAGCCATTTCCATGGGATAACATTATGTTTGCTTTTTAAAGGGCAAAGATGATGAGTGCATCAAGGAGCAAACTTCGTGTGAAAGTTGCCTACGTCGCAATGGCTATCCTGCTTATGGGTTTTGTATCGGCAGTTTTCATAGGGAAACAGGTTAGTAGAAAATTGTTACAGGGTTGAAAGTGGGATCAAAAATATTAATAGATTACCCATTATTCAATTATATTTCAAAGCTCATTGAAAATAGTGTGAAGACCCACTGCAATGGCTGACAAAAAAGTATGATTTTCATAGCCCCTGCCAATCAATCTGCAATTGTCCTATAGGACTGCATTATTTTCTGCCTTTTGTTTAAACATCTTCCATGGAGTAGGAAACACTTGGGTTATGTGAGCCAATCAGTCATCTATCATAAACAATGCCCGAAGAGCTTCTTGAGTGCTCTCTTTTTTATATACATAACAATGACTTCATGATTAATGTTATTGTATCCATCATTTGTCCAAAGAAATCCAGATCAAATACTTTACATCTCCACCCCTGGTGACCCAAATGATGCTGTTGCTGCCCTCCAGTGCTGGACGCTGTGGGGGCCCGGATAGGGGACAACAATTTCAATGGAACTCTGGCAAGACCAAATGGCTTTGGATACTTGAAACTTCAAGATCCAGGATTCTTAACACATTTAGTTCTGGATGGGGTTCCACTACCCCAGGCAGACACAGTGCGCAACTTGGGGGGGGAGGGGTTTCCCCTGGCCCCTCAATTCTGCTGTCATAGCCAGGAGAATCTTTGCCCAACTTTGCATTGTGTGTCAGTTGCACCCCTTCAGTCCTTGCACTCAGTCACTCAAGCCCTAGTCATCTCACGCCTGGACTTTTGCAATGCACTCTAATGGGGTTACTCTTGAAGAGTATAGCTCAGAAGCTATAACTGGTGTAGTATGCAGCAGTGCAGGCAGTTCTGGGAGCTTTGACTGGCCCATATTATACTGTTGCTTCATGAGCTTCACTGGCTGCTGGTTTGCTTCTGGCTGCAATTCAAGGTTAACACCTTTAAATCCCTGTATGGCTTGGTCCCAGCTGAGGAATCGCCTCACCCCAATTGAGATTTCTCCAGCAGAGAGGGCATGCTACGGATCCTGTCAGCCAAGAAATTCCAACAGGCAGGATCCAGAAGACTACTCTGTGGTCTCTGCTCTTTGGAATATCATACACCCCCCCCCCCAAGGTGAGATCTGCACCAACCCTCCTGACCTTCCCAAGGGCCCAAAGACCTACTTCTACTAGCGTTACAGTCAGTAACCTCCAAAGAGATGGGCGACACATAAATCCAAAAAATACAAACATACTTGAACATGGAGTAACCCAGTAAAAACATAGGCTACTCTCCTTACCTCTCTTCTGTTGCAAATTTCAGGCTTGTAGGATTATACATGTGTCTATATCCAGTGACATGCGGTGAGGTTTATGGCTGGTGAGGCAGTCCTCTCCCCCGACAACCCACTGACTAAAGCAGTTTCTTTTGCCCCCCCTGAGCTTGCGGCAGCCCGCCCGAGCTGCCACGAGCACAGGCAGGCAAAAGAAAGTGCTTTAGTCAGTGGGGTGTCGCAGGAGAGGAGAGAATGCCTGAGCACTGCATTTATTAAAGAAAAAAGAAAATTTGAAGAAAAAGAGGGAGCGTGGGGTGGGGGTGGGGGCATCAGAAACAGAGAGGAGGAAGCGTGAGCGCGATGCTGCAGCTTTAAACAGAATGACAGAGTTGAAGCCTCTAAAAAATGTGCCCTCTACTATGAGGCAGGAGAACTGCGTGCCTCAACTACTTCTGGATTTTTTAGGCTTTTACCCCTCGCTTAACTCTGCTCAAGCACCTAAAAAGTCAGACTAGATGAGGCATGCAGTTCTCCTACCTCATAGTAGAGGGCGCTTTTTTAGAGGCTTTTTTAAACAGACAGTCATTCACGTTGTGGCAGCAGCTAGCTAGCCTAACCTCAGCACTCGCCTTTTCCTGTTTACATTTTTTTTCCTTTTCATGATTGACAGTGGTGAGGCTGTGCCTCCCCTGCCTGCAGGTCACTGTCTATATCCTTAGAACAATGAATGTAAATGGAAAAATGTGGCAATCGAGAAAGCTAATTTGTTGCATTCTCATGAGCCTTAGACCGAACTGATCTGAATAAGGCCTGTATCTTAGAAATATACCTCTGGCTTATTTTAGGAAACAGTTGTGTTTTTCTCTAACTGCTGAAGTTAGAAGTATACATGTTTGCTGATTTACTGTGTGTTATCCAGTAATTTAACTAGATAACCAAATTTATCTTCTGTCCACTCCTGTATTAGGGGTATTTTCAGAATGAGAGATAAGTGAACATTAAGGCATCTGTTTGCCATGCTGTAGAAATAATGACAAGATTAACTGTCTCTTACTTTCCATGTTATGGTCATTCCTGCTGCAGGATGTTCAGAAATATAGACATTTGCGGTATATGCCCATTGAGAAGATAGTAGAGACTGATGAAAGTACTTCTACCAAGCCATAATCAAAAAGAAGATTAGATCTGTTGGTGTGTGATTTTCATCATGAATTGGAAGAGCAACTTAAGAAACATTTACTTCATTTTTTTTACATTTCAAAAAGAGAATTTATAGTTCAATGACAATGTTAAAATTTTCATCCTTTCTGATGGAAGACTTCATTTCTGACTAAAACAAAAGCACCTTTTGTTTTTAAAAGTCTGAATCTATATTAGAATGTTTCTTTAAATCCTGGTGTGTATGTATATTCTTTGTAACCTGTAAAATACACCCTGCTCTAATAATAAATGGATCTATCCAGGATACTGAATTCATCTGAACTGGATAACATGAATGGTAAAATAATTCATACTTTCTATACTGACTAGTGTGCAGATTGTATCCAAAGTTTTTTACTCTTGGGCATTTTTTTCCATTTCATGAAATAAGTGTAATTTCAAACCAGAATATTGAAATGACATAAGGCTACGAAATGAATCATTTCCTGACATTTGAAGAAATGCATGGTATTTAATAAACAATAATCTAACAGCAGCTATCCAAAAGCTACCTAGAATATGAAAGCCTTAAGAAACCATACAGCATACTTTTAATTGCTTCCCAATACTGCTTATGCCAATATTTATTTCAAATTGGAACTCATTTTTGTTATTAAATGGATATTCGAAAATATGCAAAAGGCTGGAATTTAAAAAATAGATCCATTCCAAAAGTTGCTACTAAAGTTTAATATGAATTTAAGTATTAAATTAGATGGTAGTGAATGTCTTATTTGGCTGATAAGAGCACTGAATCTTAACCTTGTAGTTACAGTACATGAAGAGTTGGTATTAAACCAGCTTTGTCCACTAGTTATGGAAGTATAGCTGACAAGTAGCATCAGTTGGAAAGGCTATATATATATATATATATATATATATATATATATATCTATGTATGTATGTATGTATGTATGTATGTATGTACGTACATGTACATATATATTTGGTAAACGTAAGGTCAATAGGTTGGGAGATGAACTCTGATAAGAATAGAGTTGAGAAAAGCCTGTTTTGAACATTAGTTTTAATATTAATCTTGACTGAGGAAAGCTGGTCATGCCCAGTAGAATTTCTAAGAGGTAATCCTCGACTCACGATCACAATGGAGCCCAAATTTTCTGTTAAGTGAGACATATGTTTTAGTGAGTTTTGCCCCATTTTATGACCTTTCTTGCCACTGTTGTGAATCATCGCAATTGATAATTTAGTAACCCAGTTCTTAAATGAATCTGGTTCCCCATTGATTTTGCTTGTGAGGTTGTCGCAAAAGGTGATCACATGACCGTGGGACACTGCAATGGCCATAAATATGAACCAGTTGCCAAGGATTTGAATTTTGATCACATGATCACAGGGATACTGCAAAGGTCATAACTTTGAAAAACAGTCATAAGTCACACTTTTCAGTGTTGTTATAACTTTAACCGGTCATTAAACTGTTGTAAGTTGAGGACTACCTATACCATGGAGTATCTTATGGAATAGTATGAGCAATCACATCCAAATGCCAAGGAAGGAACACCCATGATGAATTCCTATCTCTCAGATTTAGGACAAATACATTCCACAATTATGCAGTAGAACAAATGGGAAAGGAGGCAGCATGTTGGAAGCATTCTTACAAAATGACTTCCATGATGGGTATGGCCAATCATAAAAGATAAAGTGGAAGGGCATGATATCATCCATTGCTTACTTCATCTTTTTTCAAATGGACAATTAGGGATACATCCCCACAAAAAAGCCTGGGTGAAGCCACTTGCTTTTTTCCATTGCAAAAAAAATGTCTATGGGTCTTATGTGTTCTGGAGCATGCCAATTTCAAAATTGGTTAAATTAAAAAATATTTTAAAATGAATTCAGATTATCACAGAACATGGCTGACAATCGGCTGTTACTGATACCTTAATACTTGTGGATAGCAGGCTGCCTATCTTGCTGTTACAGTGACAATACAACTCAGATGGGATTCCAAGTGCAATGCATAGAAGATATATTTAAAAGTTTGTAAATTAAAGCATTAAATTTAAATTAAATGCAGGAAAAAACTGAGAAAGGAAACGAATTGTTAATAAGATGTATCTCAAACTTTTCATAAATGATCAAAGAAGAACTGAATGGAGAAATTCCCTTGTACATTAATGGAATCATACCAGCTTTACTAAAATCTCGTGTGTTTTGTTCAGCACAGAATCTGTATCCGGGGCACAAAAAACACTCTCTACAATAACCAGACTTCTGTTGGCAACCTACGCTCAAATTCTTACTGTATTGTGTTTAATAATAATGGTATGTAGATAATACATTTCATAAGGCAACATCCAAGGTGTTAAACTGCAGGTTAGTAACTCTTTTCACCTAGGATTTAGTTCAGAAGGACAAAATGACATTTCCCTGGACACACAAGATCTGTCTCCTCCTGACTGCAGAGAGATTTTCTTAGCTATTAATTACCAACAATTTAGCAGAAGAGCTAATTTTCCATTGGGGGCTGTCCTTACACAACAGTTATGCTAACCATACTGCTGTCCATGCATACTTAGCATGGCATTCTAGCAACTGGATAGCAACTTAAAAGTTTGAATTCTCATTATTCTACATTTCTCAAAAAATTCATCTTATCTGCATTAATGCTAAATTAAAATATCTTTAAGTGTCCTAGTCTGGTCTTGTAGTTTTGGGATTTGTCAGTGATGTGTAGCTTTTTCTTTAAAAAATTACATGTTTTTCTTAAGACAAAAAGAAAACATTTTATGAAATGTAATGCCTCACTTGAATAATACTAATGATGTCGTGTAGTTTTGGCCAAATCTGCTGGCAGAACCAGATCTAATTCTTCCTTTCTTCCCAGTTGAAAATGTCCATTGCAGTTCAGGTTCAGAAATAACAGATCAAGGTACAGGTAGTCCCAAACTAAGGATCAGTTGTTTAACAACCACAGTTACAACATCCTCAGAAAGGGTGATTTGTACTGCACTTCTGGCCATTGCAAAATGTGACCACCCCCTGGTCACAAGACTGAATTTCTAGTAAAAAAAATGACCTTTCTGTACAATAGATTTACTTACGACCAAATGATTCACTAAATGATGATTGTAAAAATGGTCTAAAAATTGGGTCGTCATGTGGTATTTTGAGATATAACTGCAACTAGGACTAAAATTCAGGTCCCAATTGTGGTTGTAAGTTGAGGGCTATCTGTAGAATTATAGAAGAGGATTAGCCTTAATTTTTGAAATTGGCCCTAAATTCATGAAGTGATGAAAAGTACAGGCTATCATGGAAGGAAAAGAACAGTTCATCCATATTCATTTTCTTTCACTCTTCTGGCCTATGTTGGAGCAAGGGTCCTCCAACCTCTGGGCTGTGGTCCACTAGCAGGTCGGGGCCTATTTGGAACCGGGCCGCACAAGCAGTGTGCGTGTGGAACTCCATTCACGTGAGTGGTGGATGCTTGTGCAAGCAATGGGCACTTGTGTGAACCACAAAGCTCTGCTCAAATGGAGCTGTGCATGTGTGCGCACCTGCCACTCACACAGAATCCTCCCATCCCACTGTATTAGAGGAATCTTTGCTACTGCCAAAAATCTTGTGATTATAACTCTGGATACGTAAATAGGATACTAAATCCAGTGTTGGCTTTCCCTTGTAAACAAAAGGTTTACAAGCTCTTCAAAGAAGATCTTTCCAAACTCTCCCACCTCCCATTTTTTTAAATCACTTTAAGACAACATAACAATTACGGTCCTCTCACATTGCATTCAATCCACCCATTTCACACCTGAAAAGTATTGACACTTGTTTCAGGAGTTTATCGCCTCTCCTTGCTCCACATTAAAAAAAACAACCACCAAATAACTATCTTCAGCAGGCTACGTAACTAGTAACATTTTACAGCTTCAGCTATCTAAAATACTTCAATTATACAACTCTGGATTGTACAATCTATTTCTACATTTCACCTATATAATAAATCTAATTAACTCTTCTATAAACACACACTCCATTCATTTGAATATATGATTTAATTCACCCTTTTAAAGAGAGAACTGTCATTATTTACTAGAAGAAACACCAATGCACCATTATTGTTCTAGGAGCTTCAGAGAAAAACTTCCACTGTGAAGTTTGTGTAAATATACATATATACATACACATTAGTAATTATTCCAGAAGAGTGTGTATGTGCATGTACAAACTAAGTATGCACACAAGTATTAGTATTGGTGTACATGATACATTTCAGTATCATATACACACTTCATTGAAGCCGATTTACAAAATATGTAACTCCTCTCTAGAACAACTATGCGATAAAGTACATGATTTAAAGCATATTATATAGAATGACATGTAGTCAGTAATTTATCCTTTAAAAAACCCAGCCATAAAAAAAATCGCTGTGGAAACGAAATGGACTTTTTTATCATCAGTGTTTCTACCATTCTTTAAGAAAAAAAGATGAATATATAACAATAAAAATGTTAAAGATTGCTCATTTACTTTTGAACTGCAAACTACATATTGTTTGCTTTCCTATGTGTAACAGATTATTTTACCCATTTGACTTCTGGTATTAAAAATGGGGATCTCTTCCCAAAGCAACCATAGCCAATCAGGAAGCATGATTGTCACATCATCTGGAGTCAAACTTGTTATGTATACAACAATTAAAATGAGCCCATAAATTCCTTTTCTCACCTGGGGCCCAACAATCTGGACAATCAACAAAGTGGACAATTAGTTTATTGCAAAATGTACCATCCTAGCCATCTTAGCTCTATTTTTAAATCCTAAGATCAAACAGGAAATTCAACTGACATTGTAACCTATGGTGCACCTTCAGCATAAGAGAGTGCTATCATGAATGCAGTAATTTCGACTGTGATGGCTGCTGAAGAACAGATCTCACCGGAAACTATGTGGGATATAGGATATGGATCAGACTTTGACAAAGTAGTATGTTGTACGTGATGCTAGTTTTCTTTTGTAAAGTGTAAACAAAGGTCATCTGTTTGGAAAAAGTTAAATTGAATTCATAGGACAACACTCCTGAAGTAGTTATATTATACTATCAAGATCAGAAGACATGAATGTAGGAGAAGATCACAGCAACTGGTATTCATTCCCAGGGTCTTAAATCCAAGCTTATTAGAGACCTCCAACCTCACCTTACCCAAAAGGTATTCTTCAAGAAATGGAATCTCTTAGCTGATGCAGAGGCTGAAGTACTACTTTTTCATTGGAGATAGCTGTATTGAAAACTAAATGAA